ATGTTTGCCATGTTACTCTGAGTGCATATCCACACCGGGCGAGCTTGAATATGCCCGGCCACGGTGGGATTCGAACCTACGACCTTTGGAATACTAGCCCAATGCTCTTCCAACTGAGCTACGCGGTCAGGACGGTTCGATCGTGTAAGTGATATTTCGGAACAGTATCTAGTTCCTTCAATACCAATGCGTTCTAGTAATATGAATTTTCCTCTGTGTTGGTGTTGTGTACTCAGGTGAATAATATGTTTGCGATGTTACTCTGAGTGCATATCCACACCGGGCGAGCTTGAAAAATATGCCCGGCCACGGTGGGATTCGAACCTACGACCTTTGGAATACCAGCCCAATGCTCTTCCAACTGAGCTACGCGGTCAGGACGGTTCGAGTAAGTGATATTTCGGAACAGTATCTAGTTCCTTCATACCAATGTGTTCTAGTAATATGAATTTTTCTGTGTTGGTGTTGTGTACTCAGGTGAATAATATGTTTGCGATGTTACTCTGAGTGCATATCCACACCGGGCGAGCTTGAAAAATATGCCCGGCCACGGTGGGATTCGAACCTACGACCTTTGGAATACTAGCCCAATGCTCTTCCAACTGAGCTACGCGGTCAGGACGGTTCGAGTAAGTGATATTTCGGAACAGTATCTAGTTCCTTCAATACCAATGTGTTCTAGTAATATGAATTTTCTGTGTTGGTGTTGTGTACTCAGGTGAATAATATGTTTGCGATGTTACTCTGAGTGCATATCCACACCGGGCGAGCTTGAAAAATATGCCCGGCCACGGTGGGATTCGAACCTACGACCTTTGGAATACCAGCCCAATGCTCTTCCAACTGAGCTACGCGGTCAGGACGGTTCGAGTAAGTGATATTTCGGAACAGTATCTAGTTCCTTCAATACCAATGTGTTCTTGTAATATGAATTTTTTCTGTGCTGGTGTTGTGTACTCCGGTGAATAATATGTTTGTGATGTTACTCTGAGTGCATATCCACACCGGGCGAGCTTGAAAAATATGCCCGGCCACGGTGGGATTCGAACCTACGACCTTTGGAATACTAGCCCAATACTCTTCCAACTGAGCTACGCGGTCAGGACGGTTCGAGTAAGTGATATTTCGGAACAGTATCTAGTTCCTTCTATACCAATGTGATCTAGTAATATGATTTTTTTCTGTGTTGGTGTTGTGTACTCAGGTGAATAATACGTTTGCGATGTTACTCTGAGTGCATATCCA